CTTTCTTTCTTTCTTTCTTTCTTTCTTTCTTTCTTTCTTTCTTTCTTTCTTTCTTTCTTTCTTTCTTTCTTTCTTTCTTTCTTTCTTTCTTTCTTCTTTTCTTTCCCAATTCTATTTTTACTTACTGCACCTTGATGTTGTTGTTCATTGTCCTTCAAACTGAAGCTGACAGTGCTGAGAGCTATGAGGATGCCTTTTATTTTAGGCAGAGTTACTGACTCATCTGAGAAATGTCATTGTCCAGGAAGTCCAGATAGATCATGGCACAGTGGAGGAAACTAGTTCAGAATTAATAGAGGAAGACATAATCAATCAGGCATTAGTGATCCAGTGTAGAATTTCCATCTTATATGCGGCAGACTGGAGTTCAACTCCTGGCCAATGCCCCTCAAATGCTGACACCAACCCCTGTCATTGAAGGCTTATGTGTTGCTGTGATGCCGAACAGAATTCAGCAGAGTTTCCAGCCTAAGGTGGGTTAGGAAGAAAGGCTTGGACACCTACTTCTGAAAATCAGACGATGAAAACCCTGTGGATCACAATGACCAGGGTCAGAGGTTCAGTCCATGGTGCATGTGGTCTCCATGAGTCCAGGGGTGACTTATGGGCAGAAAACAATGACCCTGATAGAACATGTGACTCTTGAGAGTAGCTGTTCTCTACTGCCCTTAAAATTAGGGTACAAGGAAACAGGCTTACATGGCAAAGGGTTGCATAATTATTAGATATAAAAACCTTCCATGTCATCTGAGGATTCTTGAATCCTAAAGTGTGTTAAGGAGTGAGACAGTAGTCATCTTAGAAAGTAATGCCAAAACTTCAGTCTGGAGATGAGACAGCATAAACTAACAAATTCTCCAGAACGAAGGAGTGTTGGAGAAAGAATGGGTGGGGCAGGCCTCAGTTTGCGGTGTTTTCTTTGGCCCAGGAGCAGTCATCCAATTTTGAGGTTAGTTAATAGAAGCAAGATGATGGTAAATCCCACATGTAACTTGACCCAGAAACAGGAGGTTCTGCCCTCTTAGAAGACAAATGGGATTTGTAATCCCATTTCCCTTTGAAAAACCACAGGATTGTTTTGGGCACAGTGCATTCTATAACTGGCTAACAGTCTGTTCAAGGCCAGTTGCATTATCTGATACTTCAACAAGTGTCTGAATTAGCATGAGCTGAGAGTAATAGGAGAAAAAGTACTGTGAGAACTTTATTGGAAATTCTTGAAGTCATTGATTAAAGGTAATAAAAAACTGGTGCAGGAGGCTACCTGAATTATTTACAAGTCAGTTCCTGCTGAGTCAAAATTTAAACATAAGTTTATTCCCTAATTACTAGTGGTGAAACTGGGGAGATAGAGTAAAAGGCACTTTTGAAAATCTATTTGTTGTTTTTGAGGGTCTTCAAGTCAGTTCTCACTCATAATGACCCTGTAGCAGGTTTCCAAAGAATGACTGGTAAAATCGAACCGCCGACATTTCTGTTCAAACCAAACTTTCAGTCATGTTCTTTTCCTACAGTGCCACACATTAATGAGAACAGCTTTTGAAACACGAATGCTGCTCACTGATGACCCATGAATAGATGGATTAAATTATTCCACATAGCTAGGAAAGGAAGAAAACTAAGTTAAGGTTTCCTACCAAAATGGCACCAGAATACTGTACACAGTGCCTGCCACACCATAGCTACCACTAATCCGTTACTCTTTTACAATTTCAAAATGAGTCCATAATCACAGGTATGGTGGTGGTGGTTATACGCTGTGGAGTCGGTTTCGATCCACAGTGACCCTGCATAGGGTTTCCGAGGCTGTAAATCTTTACAGGAGCAGAAAGCTTCATCTTTCTTCCGTGGAAACGCTGGTAGTTTCAAACTGCTGACCTTGTGATTAGCAACCCGACTTGTACGCACTATGCAACTAGAGCTCCTATAGTAAGAATTACTATGCCACTTGATCTTGGAAAGGTTACGTGCCCAGAACGTGACCATATGATAGACTGACACAGTACAGTGGCTATAGAAATGGGTTCAAACATAACAGCAATTGTGAAGATGGCGTAAGACTGAGAAGTGTTTTGTTCTGTTGTACATTGGGTCCCTATGAGTTGAAATGGACTCACTAAATGGCACATAACACCAAGACCTGCAGGGTTTTCCTAGTGGGTACAAATGGTTAACTTACCCCAAATCACTCTGGAATACAGGCCTGGAGACTTTCTTCCAAAAGGTCACAGCACTGAAAAGCCCATGGAGCACTTCTACTCTTCACACATGGGATGCTCATGGATTGGAATCAACTAGACAGCAACTCACAACAACAACGAGACCTGCTTTACCTCTCTTATTATTGTTGTTAACTGACATCAAGTCAGTTCTGATTTATAGCGACCCCATATAGGGTTTCCAAGGCTATAACGCTTTCTCCTGAAGAGCAGCTTGTGGATTTGAACTGCTGACCTTGTGGTTAGCAGCCCAATGCATTCCCCCACTACACCACCAAAGCTCCTTTCTCTGATTAGGTCAAGAGAAAGTCAGCTGTGCAGGTGAAAGAAGACTCTAAAATGTTTAAAATGCTATGTTGTTCCTTCGCTAAGGACTCTTCTATCCCAATTCTCATCAGCTAGAGTGAATTTAATATGATAGTTTTCAGAACATTTTGTTTTGTGATCTCCCTGTAAGAAGGGCAAGCTCAAATGGTCAGCATATTTTAGAACAGGCCCAATCATCTGGTTTGGATTTGGACCCCTCAATGGCTAAGCAGAGGAGAAGAATCTTCTGAAGCATTTAGCAATGATCACACATCCTGCCGTGATTAAATTATCCATGTCCCCTGTCCAAGAGGCCTTGGTGGTACAGTAATTAAAGGGCTTGGCTGCTAACTGAAAGGTCAGTGATTCACACCCACCATCTGCTTCAACAGAGAAAGATGTGACAGCGTACTTTTGTGAAGATTTACAGCCTTGGAAACTGTACGTGGGCAGTTTTATTCTGTCCTGTAGGGTCACTATGGAATCCACAGATGGCAATGAGTTAATTCGTTTGGAAACCCTCTGAGGTAGTTCTTCTATGTCTGAGAAGATCACTATGAGGAATGACCTGAGGGCAGTGTGTTTATGGGTTTGGTCCACTGGGTTTGGTCTGCCTGGGTGAGGAACCAATGCTGAGGAACAAAAAACAACTGATGGTTTTGTGTTTATTAGAGCTCTTTTGTTCTCATCCAGGGACTTAACTCCTTAGTGTTGGCTATTTTCCCTAAAGAAGCAGAAATGCTTTCTGCTCAAATCTGAAAACACTTCCTCTGCCAGCAACTTTATTTAAAATTCAATGTCCAGGATTGGGCAGTGTTTCTTTCTGCTATGCATAAGGTCACTATGAGTTGGTACGGACTAGATGGCACCTAGAAACAACAACAATAAATGATTTACATTAAAAGGGACACGTTGTTGTTGTTAAATGCCATTGAGTTTTTTCTAACTCGAAGTATCCCTGTATAGTATTTTTTTTTTTTTTAAAGGATTCAACAATGCATGATTTTTATTCTCTTGCTCTGAGAACTTACCAATTTTTAAAAAATTAAACCAAGGAAAAGAACTTAAGATTTGTTAAGTGTGTCAAAAACAATTTTGCTTTTAAAAGGTAACCACTAATTTGCTTGG